GGGGGGGCGTCTATGGAATCTCTTCAACTCAATTTCATATTGAGGCTTTAAAGGATAGATTTTATGTCTCTCTAACTTTCTTTTATGTTCTGTGTTGATACAGAAAATCAGGTTTGCTTTTCCCTGACGTGACCTTTAGCAGGTCTACACCGCCGCGGGCAAACTCCCCATCTACTGTAGCACAACTTTATTATAAAAGAGAGGAGGAATCATAGTGACTGCGTCTCAGTGTCCTTTTACAGTTGTACTGGGACAGATTTTTTAAAAACGCAAACCTATCCTTTAAGCCATGTTTGCCTACAACCTAATGAGATTCCCATTGACAGGAAGCCCGGCTGCAGATAGTGTGTGTGCACTAAAGATGCACGGAGCGGCCACTGTCTTTAATTAGAGCTGATTTTTTTTGCAGTGCTGACTGAGGAGGATCTTGATTTGTTTATTTTGGCCTTGAATGGTCGACTAATGACTGCACACCTATTTAAATCAAACCTCAAAGAATTCTCTTCACTAAGACACCGGTGGGTTTACTCAAGGCTACGTCTATATCTGCATCCTGTCAGCTACTGAAATCATTCTGCGATTTCATTTTGCCGTCTGCTGCAGTAAAGGAATGAAGCCATCTGGAAGAACTCTCAGGTGGGATTATTTCTAAAGAACATATGGTTTTCAATGGCCACAAGAAATATGGAGTAATTACTTTTTCTCCATCATGTCAAACTGGTTCTCAGGGCGTCTCTCATACTGTCATTTACCATAAATTAAGATTTAACCTTGAGAAAAGGTCACAGGGCGTCTATTCACTGAACTTACCTGGAAGTCTGTCACCAGGTCTCTTCCAAAGGTGCCGATGGGAGAGTCACGGGACATGGAGGTGACCGTGGACAGGAAGCTGCTGGACTCTGTGAGGTTTGGCATCGGTGACAGATCGTCTGTCCTTTCTCTCAGACCCTCTCCGACATGGTCCAACTTCTCCATGAAGATGTGCAGCTCGGTGCGGAACGCCTTCATGCGGGTGTTGATGGTGTCCAGGACCTGCGTATCAGGTTTGGATCCTGACACCGCCCCTCCCTCCAGGCTCTCCCCTGTCGTCACCAGCAGCCTGCCCTCGAAGATCAAACTGTCCGTGTCCGTGATGAGTCGGTCGACCGTCTTGCCGAGCCGATCCGCCTCTCGTTTCACGTTACCGAACGACTCCCGCTCTTCCCTCCTGCGGTTGGCCAGTTCCGTGGCACTGAGCTCGCTGCCATCTGAGGGTTTGATGCTTCCGAACCCTGAGGTGGTCGTTGTCTTCTCAAACATGTCTTCAGAGTCACTCTCACCCCCAATAGGGCCCTCTCGTTTGGGATGGAGGAGAAGAAGTCGCCCCGTCTCTTCATCGTCAGCGGCCTCTCGCCGCCCTGCATCGCTCTCTGCATCGCTGTCTCGAGGGCTGCCGGTGCGTAGGCCGATGTGTGCGGCCAGGTCACAGCGCTGGACATTTGACATGAGGACACGGTTCTCGTACTGCAGCTTCATTACCTTTCCACTCAGCTCATTGATCTGCATCCTGGCTGACTTTAGCTCCTCCATCATCATCCCGCTACTGGAACCATTCCCGTTGCCACCATTACCGGGTTTAAACAGTATTCCTTCGCCACCTTCCTCAGCGATGGGCCCAGAGCTGCTGCTGGGGCCGAATTTGAAGCGATTGAGTTCAGACGTAAGCTGCCTGTTGTGGTCCTCGATCTCTGAGATGGAGCGGCGCAGAAGCTCAGCCTCCTCCTCCACGAACTGGAGATGGCGACGTAGCTCACTGGCCGAGTCCAGCGCGTCGCCACCATACGGCGACGAGGGCATGCTGGAGAACGGCTCTCGCCCAAAGAAGTCCCTTTCATACTGACACCGGATGTCGTCGTTTTCTGCCCTCAGGCTGCGGTTCTCAACCTCCAGCTCCACAATCTTTCTGCCCAGGATGTTGGCCTCCTCCTCCACCAGCTTGAGCCGTAATCGGAGCTCAGCCTCTCGAGTGGTGTGAGGGCCTCCGCCAGAGCATTCAGCCAGAGGAAGGGGACTGTCCACATCCCCATAAACTGTCTTGTACTTTTGCAGCTCCTGCTCCAGTTCATCCTTCTCCCGGCCAAGCTTTGCCATCTTTTTCCTCATCAGGCTGGACTCCTCCTTGGAAAACTGGAGCTGGCACCTGAGGTCTGCACTGTCCTCCTGGAAAATAAAATTGTTGCTTATTTACACATCCAGCAGATCCAGAGAAACATTATCACTCATTTGAACTGGTGTGTTTTAGCTGATACTGAAGTCCAGAAAATAATATCTTCATAGAGTCTTTACCTGACTTGAGGATTTCTTGTCTTTAAATGTTTCCCTGCTTCCTCGTCTCCTCAGAACAGTCTGTGAAAGAGCAAAGAAGAGGGATGTAAAACATGAACTGTTACTGAAGCTGAACTCTGATTTAATACCGGTTCTCCTCCAACTATCACAGCTGATGCTTCATGAGGGAGTCGCAAAATCAAAAACACCACCATATCTGGTTTCCCCCTGGGTGGCTGCAGTATATAAACCCTGTAGAAGCGGGCATAGCCTGAATCAAAAGCCAACATCTGAGTCTTATTACGAGTGAGTGGAGGAGCAGGAGCTAATGGACGCTAACATGTGATTTATATGTTGCGCAGTATTGTAGTTTGTAAGTTGAGAGAAACTTCAGAGTTCAGATGATGAGGATGTTCTGTCATGCTGTTGTGATGCAGCAGGGCGCTTCAGATCCCAGTGAGAGTTCGGTGTGACAGACGTCTTATCCCGGCTCAGATTCAGTGACACATGGCTCTTCCACAACACTCGGAGGGAAAGCATCTGCCTGTCCGATGGGGAAATCTGTCCTGTAGCTAATACTACAGTCGGCATTGCACGCAAAGCCTGGATAAAACAGGGCCCTCTGCACGCCAGCTTAGTCTCACCCATAAATAAAATCATTCATTTTTATCTGCTCTCTTACAACATCAGCACAAGACGGGGACAAGAGAGAGAGAGAGAGAAATATCCCCTCTATAAATGCAGAGTGCAGAGCTCTCAAGTGTGAACGTGTTTCCAGGAACAGATTGCTGCAGTTATTTAAAGGTTCTGATGATAAGTTAGGCCACAGCCAGGCTCCTCTCTAGGAAACATTATGCGATATTAATATTTCAATCTCAGAGTCGCTGTCATATTACAAATGTAGTTCTACTATATCAGAAACAGGGAAACTTCACAAAGGCGATGTGACGAAGTATTATTTTCATTGTTGGTTGATCTGACTCTTCACAATCCAAGGATATTGAATTCATAATGAACAAGAATGGAGCTCAGGGGAGCGCAAAAAAACAGCTCACAAAAAAATCACCTGAGTTTAATCAAGACCCATGAATTATTCCCTTGGAAAACAGGGGGATTGTTGCATTTTAAAGAAAGTGAAAAGAAAATTCCTGAATCTGATTCATCGAAATCTGTCCAGTTGTTTGAATCTAATCTTGAGGTGAAGAGATTCTCAGTTTACTTGTTTCGATTGGTAAGTGCACTTTTTTAAGTAATGTCCTTTAATAATATGAGGTTCTGTCTCTTGTGTGATTGTTTTCTCTATCGTATTTTGCACCTGAGATTGAATTCGTTTTATGGGAAACAAGGGTTTGCCTCAAATTTCCAATTGAAAAACAATGAATCAGAAACATATTTTAAAAAGACGAGTCATTTTCCTAACTGAAGAACAAAGTCAGCGAACAGAATATTATTCATAACAGCTCCAGCTGCTGTGCACACTGTCCTTCCTCTATGGAGCAAACTCTTCACTGTAAGAGCTCCGTCCCCAGCGCAACATACTGGACAGTGTGAATCATTCATGGCCGGACGGATGGAAAGTGTGAGGGTGAACCTGATTTGCCCGAAGCAGGAACGGGCTTTGACTCACTTGGTGACAGGAAGGGAGCGCCCACTTGGAGACAGCACCAAAACATGAACACAACCCAACAGAGTGCAGGGACAGTTTCAGGGAGAGGAGTTTGTCTCTCTTTTGTGTAACTTTCAACTTGGAGTTTCCTATGATGAGGATTTTATAGCATGAAATCAGATTCACTGACAGTTCTCTGCCAATGTGTTTCATGAGTTTTTGGCTGTTCTCTTTTCTTCTGCACTTAAATAGATACTTCTGCTGAGAGCTAAATCTGGACAGGTTGATAGCACGTGGAGGTTTTTAAGCATCTCTTGCCGTGCATCGATTATGTGAAGTGTTTGACGCGTTGTTTAATGTTGTCACAACACAAACACACTGCCAGATGTCAAAATGACTGAGAGCGACGACACGTCACAACTGTTTACACACTGTGCCCATCTCTTCCTATAACACTCCCACCACCAACCCTGAGTATCTCCAACAGCAGTCGCTGTTTAATTCCCAGCCGTGGTGACGGAGCTAACCTCTCTGGGGAGACAGCGGATTAAGTCGGCATCTTGAGCAAAGCTGCTCCGAACCCCAGACAACCAGGGATTCCTGTTGACTGTGTGCTGAAGTCGATTTGAGGCTCGGAACGACAACGACAGAGTGATAAGAGAGAAAACAAAACCAAAGGAACATGAATCGAAAAGATTGCCTGTAAATACAATTGTGCGAACTGACCTTTAAATACTGGTCAACACTAATCCAAAACATATTACTAAAATTACTTGTTTGCTGTTACTTTGATAATATAGGTACGATATAATAATTTACAGAAAGAACTTATTGAACATTTTCTTACAGTCACATTTTGACATTTTTATTTATCCACATTCCATTTAGAGGCATTTTAACTGTATATTATGAGAGCAAATCAAAAGAACAAAACACAATCAGTAACACAGAGACTCCAAAGAGAAGGAAG